GATACAAGCAATTGAAATTTAGAAAAGAGGCAGACAGTTAGAGAGTCTCGTTGTCTGCGTCTCTCCTCGCAGAACTTCAAATGAACGTATCTCGGCTTATAGACTAGCTAGAAAGTTGGTTTTTTTGAAGGAATTGAAGTCTGGATTTTGTACTCTCAGAATTTCAAAAAATTCAGAAAACTCGGTTCTTTTTCGATTATCCGGATTTCACTAAGCTGAAATTTTTATAAAAAATTCAAAGATCCATTTCGAATCGTTCAATTCTGTCAAAAAACCAATTTCCTAGCTCATCTAGAACTCGAGATACAAACAATTTAGAAGAGACGCAGACAGTTAGAGTGTCTCGTTGTCTGCGTCTCTCCTCGCAGAACGGCGTATAGATGAGGTCTCAATTCTGAATTTCTAGAAACGAATTTTGAAGAAATTTCCGTATTTTTCAACCAGAATTCTTTTTGAGGACATTTTTTCTCAATAAAGCGCATTTACATTATCCTCATTTTTCTATTGAAGGTCATATACCAATTAAGACACGAGCTCTCAAAATTAGAGGATATTGGAAACGAGAGAATAAATTATTTATAAGAAAGAAGAAGGCGAATTTTTGAATGTCTCCTCTTCCCTCTTCTTTCTTCCAAAACCCCAATTTCTCATCGTTTATGAAAAATGGAGGAGGCTAAAGAAGGCTGGGGGTCTAATGTCTAATTGCTTGGAAACGGATCATTTCCGTTTTCGTTCTCTCTCTTTTTTTCTCTTTATGTACATGTATGGGAAAGCTTGGGGTTCCAAAAATGGGTAGTTGAAAAAAAACCCAAACATTTTCGAAAATTGTAATTTCTTAAAATTCAAAATACGGCCAGCAAATCTGTCAAAAAAACAGCTTTCTAGCTTGTCTAGAAGCCGAGATACAGCCTTTCAAAGTTTAAGGGAGAGAGACGCAGACAACGAGACACTCTAACTGTCTGCGTTGGTTTTTTGACAGAATTGGAGGATTTGAGCTGGATTTCAAGAATCTTAAAAATTATAGCTTAAATGGCAAATAGCTTAGTTTTTAAGGTTGCAAATTTCCCCAAAAACCGGCGATTTTCAAAAAAAAAAGTAAAAGTATAAAGAAAATATTGAAGCACTAAATTCAAGCTTCGATTCCGTCAAAAAACCAAGTTTCTAGGTTATCTTCAAGCCGAGATACAGTCATTTGAAATTTCGGCGAGGGAGACGCAGACATCGAGACACTCTAACTGTCTGCGTCTCTCTCCAAAACTTTAGTTGACGGTATCTCGAGTTCTAGATGAGCTAGAAACTTGGTTTTTTGACAGTATCAGATTACTTGAACTGGAGTTTTGAAATCTTCAAATTTTTTTTTGAAGAGTGAAAATAGAGCAGTTTTTGAGCTCTTAGGGGTCAAAAAGTGTCTCCAAAACCAGTCATTTTTATGGGGTCCATGTTCTCTTTTCCCCAAAACTGATGGGGTGCAGAAAAGGGACAAGAAGAAATTGAGAGTAGTATATTAGGCAATTAAGGGGGACCCCTCCGAAAAAAGGCGGGTTTTTGAACAGACGGACGGTACTCTTTGAGAGTGAAGTGGATAAGAGAGAGAGAGAGAAACGCAGAGAAAATAATGAAAATGGTCCCAAGGGGAAAAATAGGCTCATCTGGGGGTATGTGTGTTCCTCAAAACAGATTGAGGTAGGAGGGGAAAAGAGAGAGAGAGAGAGAGAGAGAGAGAGAGAGAGAGGGGGGGGGGCATTGTTGTTGTAAGCACTACTACTTCGGTAAAAGTTCAATTAGGTTTTGGATAGAGAGAGACAGATTGGATTTGAGTGGTTCCTCGAGATTTGTGAGGACATCGGGATATACAGACAAACAGAGGATCAAAAAGGTCTAGGAAAAAGGAAGCTTTGAAAATCGGAAGTTTCTGAGATATTAGAATTTTTGAACTTTTATAAACTTTTCCGATTTTGGAAATTCCAGTAATTTTGGACCGGTTTTTTGATTTT